GGATCCTTCCCAAGGATCCCCCAGAGGGTCCCTCCCGAGGATCCCCCAGAGGATCCCTCCCAGTAACGACCTGACCAGGAACTGCTGCTCCAGGATCCTTCCCAAGGATCCCCCAGAGGGTCCCTCCCGAGGATCCCCCAGAGGATCCCTCCCAGTAACGACCTGACCAGGAACTGCTGCTCCAGCAGCTGTTTTGTGCAACCAAAAAACAAAACAAAACAAAATCAAACAAAACAAAACCCCAATCCAACTCCCCAACCAGTGCAACTGCTTGGAACCTCCTCCTTCCTGTAAATTCCCGGAGGGAAAATAAAATTCCACACCGAATTCCTTCCCCTGCTGCCCACCCGGCTCAGAACCTGAACCCCCAGGGCTGCGCCGGCACCTCCCGTGCCACAGCCTGGCCGTGGGGTCTGGGGCTGGGAAGCGAAGGTTGGTCAGGCTCTAATTCCAGTTCTGTGTCCTGAAAAGGGGAACTGAAACCTCCTCCCTGCTCAGGTTCCTTTCCCTGCCACAAACACTCTGACATCAGGCTTTGGAAATCCTGGATTTTTGATACCTCCAGTCCCTGCAGTGCCATTAAACTCATTCCTGGGGGACCAAAGTCTAATGGTTTAAACTCGGTCACGACATCCCTTTATTATAAATCCCGTGTGGAGGTGGATTTGCTGTCGATGGGGAGGAGCCTGAGCAGGGGGACAGGCTGGTCCCACCCAGGAACTCCACAGGATTCCCTGCTGAAGGCATCAGCCCACACCCAACTGCAGCACGTGAAACTTCGGGGTTTTGTCCCCATTCCAGGGATGATTCGCCCAGCCCGATACCCCGGACAAGCTCCTCGCCCTGTGCCCTCTGCTCACCTCGGAGCTGCCCCGGGCTGGGCTCCGAGAATCGAATTCCTCCAAAAGAAACAGCAGCCAGGCAGCCCAAGCCAGGTGTTGATCCGTGAAATGGAACTAAGGCACTGACAAGTGGGAACGCCCGAGCCACCAGCACAATCCCACCCTGGCCAAGGCCAGCTGGGCCACCTCCGTGCCCAGGGTCACCGAGTGTCCCTGCCAGCCCCTCCCGGGGTGGCACGGCCAGATGGGCACCTTCCCACGGGATGGCTCCGGGAATGGCACTGCCCGGCGCTGCCAGGGAGCGGGCACAGCACGCCCAGCCCGTGCCCAGCTGGGAAGGGCTCCAGGGAAACCCAGCAGCAGGAACCAGCCAGGAGGGGACGGTGCTGGAGGAGCCAGGGCAGCTCTGAAGAGCTTCTCCAGCAGCAGCTGAACGCCTGTGAGTGCTCAGGGTCACAGCTCCCTCCTCATCCTCTGCTTCCTCCTCTCCAGCAGCCTGGAAAAGCAGCCTGAGAGGAGCCAAGGAGAGGCCAGAAGTGACCAAGTGTGCACAGAAACCCCTGACTCTCCCTGAAGACTCTGTCAGCTGCACATCAGCCTCTCCAGGGCTGTCCCAGCCAGGAATGGAAGTGTCCAGGACTACGGGAAGGAGCTTCCCTCCTGTCCAGGTGAGGCCTGAGGGAGGAGGGGACAGATCCTGCTCTCAGCTCCAAAGCAGCCCACACTGCCTCCCTCCCCAGGCTTACAGAAATGCAGGATTTCCTCTTCCCAGGCAAGAGCTGGGAGTGGGAAGCGGCAGGAACTGGCACAGGCCAGGGGTTCTTGGGCTACCCCATCACCACCAGGGGTGGGAGATGCTCGTGGGGACAACTTTGTGCAATTTTTTAGATTCAAAAGAATCGAGTTATTTTCTAATCCCTAAATGCTCCTCAGCAGGGGATGCCTGAGCAGCGGTGGGGGATCACGTCAGTGGGGGTCACTGCTCTGCAGGAGATTTCAGATGGCAGAACCCAGAGCAGGTGGTGCTGCAGCTCCTGCTGCTCCAGGGGCAGCTGCACCCCCCGGGCAGGGAAACGCTCCTGCTACCACGGGATCGAGTCTGCAACTCCCTTTTCCTTGTCATCACCAGCTAAATCACAGAGTCATGGAACATCCTGGGCTGGAACAAACCCACAGGGATCACCCAGTCCAACTCCTGACCCTGCCACGACACCCCAACAATCCCACCCTGTGCCTGAGAGCGTTGTCCAGAGGCTCCTGGAGCTCTGGCAGCCTTGGGCACCTCTTGTTCCTTGGAAAATCACCCGGGAATTATTTCTGCTCCTCCCCAGCAGCACCAGGCTCCCAGGGAGAAGGGGAGGGGAGCAGTAGTACGAAGGAGAGGGGAAGGGGAGGCTGAGGACCCCGTGCACCACTCAGCTGCCCCACTGCCGTGGGAGTATTGCTTCAGCTTAGAAAGGCCTTTGGATTAAAAGTGAATTCAGTGCTTTTCCATCAAAAACATAGACAGCTCTGTTCCCTGACCAGGATGCAGCAAGAACAGCCCTCGGGTGACTCGTGCTCCATCAGCTCCCGGGGACACGGGGCCTCGGTGCTTCCACCTCCTGACGGGGAGCCACCAGTGTCCCCAGGCAGCTCTGAGGGCTGCCCCAGCACCCCCCCTCAGCTGGGCTGAGCCCAGCCCAATTTGGTATTTCAAACACAA